TATACCTTTGACGTTAACGTTCGAGAGAAACTTACATATCACGCAGTGCATACCTTTTACATTAACGTTCTCTCTTTTCATATTGATCAGCCTTGGCTTATTCATGATCTACTAATTAAGATGGGTTTATAGTATTTTGTTTATACACACTTATAACATTTCATTTTCAAAAGTAACAGCTAAAGCAGATAAATTAAACCAAGTACTAAAGTAGCAAATCTGACCTCCTTTGCTTACCAGCCGAGACTTCCAAAGTTGTATAACTAGCCAGTTTTCTCTAGCTGTTATATCCAAATTAGAACTGGCTTCTGAGACTCGTTCACGTGACAGACTACGGAAGCAAACATATATGATCTGGATTGATTTCTCACAAATGCCAAAAACAGAGCAATGACCAAAATTTAAACCCCATATTCATTTCAGTAGGTGACCCAAAATTGTCAACCTCTCACTGTATATCCCTCATTTTGCAGTTCCCTCTTAGGTGTGACAGTCTGTTGTTGCATAATATCATGAAGTGAATTAGTAACATTACGTACGGTGGTGCAATCACACGGAACTAATCGAATCTTTGGTAGTTTATAGCTAAAAAGAAAAAGGATGAACTTAAAACTGTGTATGATGCAGAGTTCGGAACAGAACAGAAACCGAGTCAACATGTACTCATTTATCTAACTTTCCATCATCTTGTTTGTACATATACGATTAAGCTTTGACTATGGCAGCGTGATTAAATTTATACAAATCAATTGGTGGAAAAAAACCAGTCATTTTCGAGGCATATTATTAATAGAAATCAAGTCAAGTCAAGTGATAGCGAAAGCAAACAGATAACTTGGAAGCTAGAGAGAGAGAGAGAGAGTGAGAGAGCCGCCCCATGGCATTATATAATTTAAGGTTCTGAGTCATCTGGACGTTTCATATTCCTTTCATGATCATGCAGTTTCTTACCAATTATATATAACCTTGTCTTCCCAACGTTTTCTCTTTAAGGATAAGAACCGGTGTTACACTCTAAAGTAAGCCTAAGCTCATACCTCCACTGCAGAATATATACCTCCACCTTTGGACAAATTCTCATCTCATTGTTCTTGGCTCTTTCACTGGCAAACCCTTCTTAGTTTAGAGTTTTTGACATCAGAGGTGAGAATTCAGTCGGTTCTGAATCATGTTTTCAGAGTAATCTTGGGCTCCAAATCTTGCCATTTCAGTTTTGACTTGTGTGTTTCTTAATCCAGTTTGATATTTAAAGTTTTTGGTTTTTTTGGGGTTAATTAGTTTCTTTGAATCAATGCTTTATTGGGTAACTTTTTCTTGGTACTGGGTTTTTATTTTCATTCTTTCGATCGTGCTTGGTGCTGGATTTTTAGTTTGATTAAGAATTTTAATGAAACTGCAAGGCCACATTTTCTGTGTGCATGCATGATTGTGCTTCCAATTAAACAACAGTTTTGACAACTTCGGTTTTTCGTTTTTTTGGCTTTTTTTTTTTGTGTTTTCATTTTCTGCGTTCAGAAGTTGATAGGATCACTTTGGTAAGATAAGGCTTTTCTGATCTCTGCGTGCAAACATCAACAGAAGGGCTATCTGTCTCTGCAGAAGTGGATTTGTTGGGCTCAATGAGAAACGCTCTTCTTCCATCTGTACCCTCCCATCTTTACAACTTTGGTAATGATCATTACAATTTACAAATCTTAATTAGCATAGATTGATATTGTTTAATTTGACCACAAGGGCATTTGGGCTCTGCAGAAACTTGTATATGATGAAGATGGTTCTACGTAACTATCCAGTGATTGTTTTGTGTCTTCAGGAAACAATATTGATGTTCAGATGTCAAATTGGGATGCTCAAATGAACATGAACAGAAAACTGTAAGTAGTCTTTTCCCTTTTCAAAATTTTATCCCAATTTTTTTTTAATGGAAAACATATGAACCTCCCTATTTTCGGAAATTATACCAATCTTTAAAATGATCAGGGATTATTTTTCCATAGTTTCTATATATTTCAAATGTACAAATAAGTTTGAAAAAGTAATTGTATGCATCAATATTCCATACTAGTGTAGTGATTTAATATGTTATCGCCTTTCTTAATAGGAAAGGTCTTAAAAAAAAAAAAAAAAAAAAATCTCGGGACTGATAATCGTCCCTCCAGCAGTAGAAAATGTTTTAGAATTCACCTCTCTTGGTAAGCTTAGCTGTGATTTACTGATTTATCTTCTCTTCAATACTTCACGACAGTATCAAAACCATTATTGGGATCATTTAAAGTAATTGTACAATCACAGTTTATCCAAATGCTGCCTCTACTAAATAAGTTAATTAGGCCCCCAACCCCACTTACAATAATGCAACCTTCTCTTCTGCTTTCTTTCTTTCAAGAAAAAAAAAAGTGAAAAATGAAGTTAATTGGTCATGGCAAATATGGCAGTGGGTTTTGCATGGGGTCCAAGGCATTCGAAAGTGACAACCAAAATAGCAGAGCTGGAGATGACTTTTCTCTTCCTCTTCCGCTGCAGTCATCATCCCTCCTTGCTTATCAACCAGGTTTGGTTTATTTCCCCATCCATATGTTTCTATTTTGAGGAACAACTTTTCTAATTTGGCCTAATTTAATTTGTTTTCCCCAGTTTTGCTTGTCCTTGCCACCTACCCTCATCAAACATTTTGTAATTTAGTAAACTCTAATAATTGACTAGCAAGAAATCTGGGTTTAATGAATTACCTTCTTTGATTGCAGCTTATCCATCTGGTGCATTCAGATACCATGATGGTGTTTCCCAGCAGCCAGTCTTGCTGGACAAGAAGATTTCAGCTCCCCAATTTGAAGCAGTATGTTGATCTTCTTTAGTTGGTAGCTAAGATTTTAATAAAAAACTAGCAAGACTTCCCAATTCACTTCAAATACCAAGTGATTTACTTCACGTGATTTTTTGTTGTTGATATGCGTGTCACAATAGATTTCACACAAATCAACAGTTGACAACTGTATACTTATGAATGTTTAAGTTAAAATACGAAAAGTAAATTATCGGTAACAAGACAATCATTCATCTTATATTGTTCGATTATCAATTTGGACCACACATTTGTACAATAATACAACTGAGGTGATAACAAATCCTAGAACTAAGTTTATTCTGGTTTTTTCTTTTTGTTCCCTTGAAGGATTTCCAGGCCACACAAAATGCAAGGAAACGTCCAATTGAGGTTGATGAGCTTGGTGGTCTGGTTGGGGACAAGACAGCTCTAAACGAATGGAACCAAAATAAGAGAAGCAAGGTGACAAATTCTCAACAACAATGGCATCAACAGTTCCAAGAAACTTCAATGCAACAACAAAACAATAAGGTCTGTTAAATAAAAAAAAACAAAATTAATTTAACATTAATTTATCTCTTCATTTAAGTTATTATGGCCTTGTTGTTGAGCTTTTGCTGCTTTTGCCAGAAGTTGCATGCGCCTGTGAGAAGAAGCCAAAAGCTCAGTGACAAGATCACAGCTCTTCAAAAACTGGTTTCCCCCTATGGCAAGGTTAGCAGTTTGCAGATAATTACAAAAGTTTATATCTAGATTTCTAATTATAGAAAAAATATTTTATTTTCTGCAAATTAATTACATTAGGCTTCTGAACTCATTGCAGACTGACACTGCCTCAGTTCTTCATGAGGCTTCCATTTATATCATGCTACTTCAAGAACAAATTCAGGTTTATATAGACCTAACAATATCTTCACTTCTTTATGCTGCATATAAATTTTAGTGCTAATTTGTTTCTTGGGTTTTGTTTTTGTTTTTGTTTTTAATTTTTTTATAGCAGAATCTGCTAAGGATGTTTAGTAGTTCATACAAGAATGCTGCAGTTCTTCACACACAGGTAGGCAAGCACTTAAATTTGTGCGTGGAACGGGGATAGTACTGTTTTGCTATCCTGGCTAATCACGATATTCCACGCGTGATAACTTTTTCACTCATCATACTATTTTGCACAAGTTTTTCTACCCTCTAACCCCGAATTTTTTTCCTTACAAATTATATTGGGAATTGTGAACAGGAATGTGGGGGCCGGCAGATGCTCGACCTCAGAAGCAAAGGCCTTTGTTTGGTTCCTGTATCTGTTACTCAGAAAGTGACCATGGAAGAGGGTGTTGATCGTGCTTCTACATCAAGAAAAATTGTCATAGCTAATAACTTGTACTGATCTATAAACACCAGCCCAACTATTTTGAACTATAGAATTTTAATCCCTTCCTTCTTGGAGTTGATTTGAAGAGGGAATTGAGAGAATATTAATCTTGAACCAAAGAGAGGTCCTTTTGCCCCACTTTGTTACTTAATTATAACAAAAGGTGATGTATTGAGTAGCTTCGGTTTTATGGGCAAGTCCTAATATTACATCATTTCATACTCCTTTTATTCGATATCAAAGAGAATAAGAACAATAAGAACAAAGCTTGAATGTTAAGATGAAAAGATGTACAAGTGATTCTTTAACAAAAAGATTGGCTATTTTGATCAAACACGAGATGAAAAGATGTACAAGTAATTCTTTAACAAAAAGCAAGTCAATCGTAACTTTTGAGTGACTCAGGGTCATAAATTAAAATGAGACTATTTTTCTTTTGTAATATAAACACAATTTAACCAAATAAGTAAAAAAAATCATGCAGGTACTCTCCTTTTGACTTAAATATAGTTTCATCAAAGTCATGTGTTTAAGTTTAATTCCCGACTTCTCAATATCGTTTGTATAAAAAAAAAAATTTAATTAAAAAAAAAAGAAGAAAAAAACATGCATGGAATGTTGGACCAGGTATTTTGGGCCAAATCCATGAAGGCAAACGAAGTCGTAGCAGCCCCCAAGTAACCCACATTAGACGTAAAGGGACATGCCATCCCTCGCATTGCACGCTATTCAACAACGTAAAACACGTGTCCTCGTATGGTTGGATCACCGCCCATTATTAACTCTGCCGCGGTGATATTAGCAGGAGCTACCGACCGCGAAGGCCTTCCATATTTTCAAGGCGCGACTCGCTGCCCTCTCCCCACCGTTAGGCCTGTCCATCTCTCTCTCTCTCTCTCTCTCTCTCTCTCTCTCTCTCGGAGCCCTAGATTTTCTCGCCATTTCTCTCTACCTCGACATTTTCTCGGGAAAATGGTGAGCACTTCCTCTACTTCAGTCTTCTCTCTATAGGGTTTCGCATGCTAGTGTTATTATTTCAAATTTTTGTTTGCTTAACGATTCTCTTTAGTATAATCTCTGCGATTTTGGTGTTCGATCTTTGGATTTTTGATTGCTTGATTGGGAAAAATTCGTGAAATTCGTCTGTGGTGGAGTATAAGTTTCGTCAGATAGCGTGTTAGTTTTCAATTCAGTCGTGATATTCAATCGTGTGATTCGAATTACTTGATCATGATTGATTCATGAGTTTTCTACAATTTTTGAGCCTCTAGTTATTGTGTTCATGCTTAATTGCAGTGCCAGTGTGCATTTTGATTTTGATTGATTCACATATAGTATGATTAGTGCAATGGCTAAAAATACTCAGCCTATGATTTTATTTCCTGGCTATGTTCAGGATTTTCCTTCATATGGATTTTTTCTTTTCTTTTCTTTTGCTTGGGAGTAGTGGTGCTTAATTTTTTCAAGGGTAAGTATATCAGTATGCCTTTGATTCATCATTCATTTTACTTTTGTTAATTAATAGTTTTGAATTATGATATGCTTGAAGACACTCATGAGCAGCCTTTGTAGTTTGAATTATGAAGTGAGAGTTGATAAGCCGAGGGGAAGAAAAGCAGTGTGTGTTTTGTTTTAGGATATTTGGGATTTTGATTGGTGCCAAACTTTCGGGTGCATATGTAACAGTTATGCTTGGAGAAACTTTTGGGTCTAATTATAGGAATTTCTAGTGATGCTTTGTTGGTGTTTGATGCAATTCGGTATCGAATAAATTTCTCCAGGCAAACGCAGCGTCTGGGATGGCTGTGCATGATGAATGCAAGCTAAAGTTTTTAGAATTGAAGGCAAAAAGAACTTACCGCTTCATAGTTTACAAGATAGAGGAGAAGCAAAAGCAGGTTATAGTGGAAAAGGTGGGTGAACCAGCTGATAGCTACGAGGATTTCTCTGCAAGCCTCCCTGCTGATGAATGCCGATATGCTGTCTATGACTTTGATTATGTGACTGAGGAGAACTGCCAGAAGAGCCGGATTATTTTCATTGCTTGGTAATAATTAGACTTTTAGAGTTTGACTCTGATTGTAATTATTCTTTTATCTTCCTTTTGATCGGCACACTCATTCTAAGATCTATGTATGAAGGTCCCCTGACACATCGAAGGTGAGAAGCAAAATGATCTATGCTAGTTCGAAGGACAGGTTTAAGAGAGAGTTGGACGGTATTCAGGTAGAGTTGCAAGCCACCGATCCAACCGAAATGGGCCTTGATGTTATTGGAGGGGGTCATCTCTATACTATATGGTTTTTATGTGTCCTGTTTATAGTCTGTGGACTTGAGTTTGGTTTACTATTGTATTGCATTGCCTTTGAGAATGTGATTTGTAATTCGTGGATTATTGGTTACCTCATTCTGGTGTGGATATAACTTCTTGCCCAGCTTGCATATATAAATATATTTTTTTTCTGTTGCCAATAACATCGATCGTTTTTTGCATGACAAAAGAAACAAAACAAACCCTTCAATTATGTTTTTTAAAAACCCATGTGAAGGAGAAACATGCCGCGAGGTTCCAATTTGAGCGAGAGATTCATTCAGCCAAAATTATATTTAGAACTATAGTTTCTACAAAAGTAAGTTCCCCAAAAGATTATAAGATTTCCAATTTCAACCAGGTAAGACTGAAGCAAGGTTCTTCTCTCCAGACAAGTAAAGAGCAAGCTTCTCTCTCAGGAGAGAGGCAGTATTGTCAGCAGATTCACATGTGTGTTGCCGGTAACCAGAATCATGATGATGAGACAAGGGCATTTCATCTTGCACCTCATCCTCCAAATCAATAACTATATTGTGCAGAATACAGCAAACCAGAATAATCCTTGGCAACTTGTTCTTATCAGGCGTCCACATTACCCCTTGAATTATCTTCCACATCTCCTTCAGCCTCACCAACGCCCTGCGCGCCACCATCTGCGTCGCAGAGAGCCGCTTGTTAAACTCGCACTGATAGTTTGAGAGCTCCCTCCCCTTGTAAGGAGTGAGAAGCCATTGCAAGAGAGGAAAACCAGAATCTCCAACTATGTATTCTCTTACTTCTGTTCCTTCTGAAAGCACCAACTTCTTCCCGTTTAAACAACTTCTTTCTTCACACAGCTTGAAAAAACCTGAACTCCGAAGGACTAGCTCATCACTCAAACTTCCTGGCCATCCTGTAATAATGTTACGGAACCTCATATCTGGGTCAACGATTGCCTGCAAGATCATGCTGCATTTTTCTTCGCAATCAAGCCAGACATCATCTGGTGAGCCCGGTGTAGGGTGGGTCATCAGGATGTGTGTGATGTCAATTGCACCACAACAATTTGGAAGGCCGCGGATTTTCTCAAACTTGGACTTTATCTCCTCCATTTCACCAAGCTTTGTAGGCCAACAAAGATGGTGCAGCCCTCTTTCTTCCATTGCTTCCACAAACCTCCAGGTAATGTGAGAAACGGTTGATCGGTTTATCCCAAATGAGTCACCGATGCTCACTAAGGACTCACCAGAGCTAAGCCTCCTAAGAGCGACAGCAACTTGGTCATTTAGAGACAACTGCTTTCCATTTGAATAGCTGAAGTTTGAGCTGCTAGTCATCATATCTTCCTTTACAAGTGAACAGATGTAACTGAATGTCTTTCTCGAAACTTTGAGGACAGATTCAAATTTCATTCTATCTTCTGATTTTGATGATAAAGGGCCTAGAAAGTAGAGAACAAAAATATAATCATTTATCAATGTGAGTTTTCAGAACCTCTATGTCAATTCCCATAGCAGAACCAAAAGATTAGAAACCTTTGTAGAAGAGGATAGAATTCATTTAATCGCAAGAGTTAGAGTTTTGATATAGTCCAAATTGTAGTCGACTCGAACACAAGCAAAGTCGAAAAAGAAGATGGTGCAAATTTAAGTTCCTCACACAACAACATAACCAAAAGTCATTTCACATAGCAAGACTTTTGAAAAAAGTTATTTGCTAAACTATTCCTTACTAATAATTACTTTGTTAAGCAAATGTTTGAAAGCTAATCTTTCAGGGCTTTAGGTACTTGGTATAATCACATCGCTAAAACCTTATGCTTTCTGCTGTACAACTAGCAGGTACGACTCAAACTTATTCTGGGAAAATTTTCGTTCTTAACAATAAGACTGCACAAACCAAAATCATTGAATGCATGATAAAATGAGCATATTTGTAAACACTAAAAGGACACCAAATGAAAAAGGCAGATAACGCCACTGTACTTATTCTCGTTTGCTTACTTTGTTTTCAGTCTTCGTTTGCTTACTGTTTCCTTCTCGTTTGCTTACTTTGTTTTCAGTCTTCGTTTGCTTACTTTTTTTTTTTCTTCTTAAATTTTTACAAACCACAACTGATTGTTTTTTACTTCTACCAAAGAAAATTAGTTTGCTAGATTCCCATCATCTTTTTTAATGATTATGCTACCTACTCTATCCAGATAAGCATACTGATACTCTCATTTTGGACTAAACAAGCAGCTTTTTAGTTCTGTGAACTACTCTCCCACCTGATCAGGCCAAGGAATGATACAGCTTCCCACAATGGATCCGACAGAACAGCATATAAGAGATAAATGCTCTGCAGGAAAGCTATCTCATTTGTAATTGGAAAGACTCAATTGAGAAGTCTGCATATTTTGATTTCTTAAGAAAAGTACAGAAAAGTGCAATAAGTTCACTTTTTTCATTAAAGAACAGCACTTTGTATTGTTTTAAACAAAGAAATTAGAACAATCCAAACCTAGAGGATATCTTTGTCAACAGAATTTGAAATTTATAGATTCACTTAACATACAAGAAGATAAAGAGCACAGTTTTTATCAACATCTCATCAGAATAAATACTCTTCAACTAACAAATGAGACTTCTGAACCTAATTTTGTCATCTCAGGACACAACGAAAACAAAACATAGGTGCCTGATTGTTCTTTGTTTGCCTACAAATGTTTTCCAAATCAGTTCTCTCACTTCGTTTCAATTTTTTGCAGCACTGATTTTGGCCAGTCCAATCCCAATAAGGCTTAGAATCAAGAATCCAGGACAGCTACTTTTTCAATTATAGTGACCCCTCATCCAAACATATATTGTTCTTAGGAAATAGCAAAACACTAAGCAAAAGCCATTGAACGCCAATGCCAAGAGATACCCATAACTATATGTTGGGTAACTAAGTAAGCAGTGGTCAAGCATACAAACAGGCTTTCCAGAATCTAATCAAGAATACAGGGCATATTCACGATGATGAACCTGAATTGATAGTATCAAGATAATATACAAGAAGGCTGAAGAGAAGAAAATGCATATACTATGAATGTATACCGCAATCTTATCTCAAGAAAAACATACATCATACGTTACTACAATCTAACAATCTAATAATTGAGAACTAGATGTAGCCTGTTTTGGAATTTCAGCACATACTTAGACCAAATTTCTCTTATGAACACTAACAGGATTGCCTGCTAATAGAGACATTAAAAATCAACAAAACAACAATAACATAACCAGCAAAGAAAGTCTTGATCGTTTTCAGAATTATAAATCAGGAAACTGCTAACAAAGTTCTTAATTTGCATCATTTTATTTCAAGGAAATAATACATATAAAAACTCAATCTTATAGTTAACAACAGAATTGAGTATTGACCTATGTCATTAGATTTCACTGATACAAGGGAAACCTAAATTGGTGTCTTCAATTATCACCACACTAGGCATGCTGTGCTCTGTCTGAGCAATATCGATGAGGTAGGAGAAACTAGAGCGCGATAAATCAAATCAACAGAAGCTAAGAACTGTTAGATTGTAATAATATATACCAGAAATCCATTTGCAGAAGTTAATCCTTTATGCACAATCACAACAAACATACATGCATTATAAAATCAATCCAATTCTTCAAAACTGCATTGGACCCAAGTCCTAATATATCATCAAATACTCATAAACAACAAACCAGATATACCCACTGAGAGCCAAACCAATGCATATATTTACAGTCAACCCAATAAAACAAATTAACCAACAACCCAAGTAAAAGATAATGCGAAACACAAAGCACTTGAGGAATATTTGTACCAGTAATTCTCTGAGAGAAGTCGTCCCACCAATCGACGGGCTGGGGTTGAGAACTCAGTGAAGCAGCTGCAGCTAACACATTCTGGTCAACCTTCTTCTCTGCCTTCTTCCTCCTCTTCATCCCTCTAACGGGTCCCATTTCAAAACTTTGAAGGAAACAAACTCGGGCAAGTCAAGGCTCAAGTGTCAACCAAGAAAATTAAAGAATCTCATACAATTCAGAGGGAGACGGAGAAAACCCATTAATCAAAAACCTCCAATTTGAAGACAACGGAAGAAACAGAGATGCTGAGCAAAAGGAACATGATGCATAAATGTTATATATGTGGAAGAAGATGGTTTGGCTTAAAGGGTGGGGTTAGAAGATGAAGGTTTGTAACTTTGTATATATATACATACATATATGCGATGCGCGATATATAAATATAGGTGCTATTTTTTGTTGGATTTCAAAGCATGCAATGCCAGTGTTAATAAGTTGAAGAAAAATACGTGAAGGAGAAGGTTGAGAGGTGTAGAGGGAGCCAAACAAGTTGTGATTGCAAGTGACCCGCGTTGGTATTTTTGTTCAGGGCAAGACAATGAATATTAAGTTCTGGACATGACGGACTTCCTACCTCTTTCTTTCGCTCTGTTTGTCTATTTATTATATCATATCTCTTTTTCAACAACCCAAAAAATATTAATTCTTTTTTAGTTTAATGATAGTTTTCATCTCTAAGTTTACAAGAGGTTCATGTTCGAAACTACAATCTCTCGTTTTTTTGTGTGTCAACATCGGAAAGAGGGAGAAGTTTTCTTACGCATACTGTTAATATTTCACGGAATTTCGAACTTGAGATCATTGATCTATAATTTAAGAGACTTTACACTCCCGTAAACGATATTCTCATCTCTAGTTGATTAAAAAAAAAGTTTCTTCTACAAAGCATCAATCACTCACTACCAACTGTTATTTATTTACTTATTTTTGTGCCGTAAATAAAAAAATTATGAGTTTGCATGATACTCATATATTATTGTAAACAAAAAATATGGAAGTATTTTACCAGCAATGTATTTTGGTGAAATTGAAGTAGAAAAATTCATCCAATGGTAGCCAAAAAATATGGTGTGCTTGTAAGTAAGGAAATGGGACGTTTGTTGTCATTAATTGATGAAGGGTGACCCAGCTCCCAAATCTGTCTTTTTTGTTTTTCCTTGCAATTTTACTTTTGAACCAGTTCCAAGCTTTTCTCCACCTCATCTTTAACAGCTTCTAATTTGATTTTTTTTTTTTCCAATAAAAAAACTGAAGACCGTAATTTATACTTCATTACATTTATATGTGACCAAATTATATCCTTCCCATAAAAACTCTCGACTTTTAGTTAAATCCTCTTCAATTTCTGATGTTTAGCTAAATTCTGAGTTATTTTTCTTCATTCAAATGAAGGGTAGATGAATTCATTTTATGTAAAATTTAAACATACATTCCAGGTAGGGTTCGAAAATTGAGGGTTCAATCTATTTTTCCCCCCAAGTAATAAGAATTACAGACTGAAAGAAAATATAAAGTGAACTATCGTCTCAGCTCATAATGGTTAAGGATCCATGATGGTTTGGGAGCTCATTAGACATATCATAAGTTTTGGAACGCATCACACCGGTGTTCTTAAACTTTTTCTGATCTTATTTCTAAATAAAAAATAAAAAATTCTGATCTTATTTAGAGAAAAAAAGAAGAAGCCTTTTTTGTCACAAAGCGGCGACATGGAACTGCGTTAAAATGTGTGTACAGTACATGGCCCCACAAGGCTTTGTATATCTGACAGTACTTGGGCCTATAAATGTTCTAATGTACTAGGTTGGGTTGGCTCAGGTTCAGTTAGGCCCATCTTCGAATAAAAGCGTAGTCTGCTAACTCTAGGAAAAAATCATTGTATGTCTTTTCAATAACATATAAAAAGTGTTAAGACAGGTTTAGCTTAGCTTGGCTGTACATGCTATATATACTTTCCCCCAACAGTGAGAAGAATACCAATTCAGTTTTCACATACAAAAAGCAAAAAGGAAAACAATTCATCGTCCCTTTTCTTTTTTGTTTTAAAATTTTATAAATACAATCAATAAACACACACACACACACGCACACACACACGCACACACTAACCCTATCAAGGTACTACAAAGGTTCGAACTTGATATTACTGGTCTGCAAGTCAATACCTTTTTCCACTGGACTAGACATTGGCAACACTTCTTCATTCTATTTGACATGGTGAGTTTGATGAGAAGGATAATATGTTTTTCCAACATATAGTTAACAGGAAAACGTAGGACACTGTCCATGCTCGCATTGTTATCAGGAGATTGCTTCTTTGGAAAAACTGAAGATATATGACCCTTTTCACCAGACGTGTAGCACGTCCTTCTCTTAATCTTACCACTGATGGCACTCAACCCACCTTTATCAGCTCCTGTACATGTAGTTGTAGCTACTGGTATCGAATTGGTACTAGTCGTTAAAGCTACAGGTATCAATCAGTACTTGTAGTTGTAGCTATGGATATTGAACGGGTACTTGAAAACGTTGCTGAAATTGGACAAGCGGATAAGAGATGTCCCTTTTCACCACACCGGTAGCATGTCCTTCTCTTAATCTTACCACTGATGGCACTCAACCCACCTTTATCAGCTCCTGTACATGTAGTTGTAGCTACTGGTATCGAATTGGTACTAGTCGTTAAAGCTACAGGTATCAATCAGTACTTGTAGTTGTAGCTATGGATATTGAACGGGTACTTGAAAACGTTGCTGAAATTGGACAAGCGGATAAGAGATGTCCCTTTTCACCACACCGGTAGCATGTCCTTCTCTTAATCTTACCACTGATGGCACTCAACCCAACATTATCAGCTTCTGGCTACTGGTATCGAATTGGTCCTCGTAGTTGTAGCTACTGGTATCGAATTGGCACCTGTAGTTGTAGCTAGTGGCATGAATCAGTACTTGTAGTCGTAGCTATGGATATTGAATGGGTACTTGAAAACGTAGTTGCTGAAATTGGACAAGCGGACAAGAGATGTCCCTTTTCACCACACCAGTAGCATGTCCTTCTCTTCATCTTACCACTGACAGCACTCAACCCACCATTATCAGCTCCTGTACTTGTAGTTGTAGCTACTGGTATCGAATTGGTCCTTGTAGCTGCAGTTACTGGTATCGAATTGGTCCTTGTAGTTGTAGCTGCTGGTATTGAATTGGTACTTCTTGTTGTAGCTACTGGTATCGAATCAGTACTTGTAGTTGTGGCTATGGATATTGAATGGGTACTTGAAAATGTAGTTGCTGAAATTGGACAAGCGGACAAGAGGTGTCCCTTTTCACCACACCGGTAGCATGTCCTTCTCTTAATCTTACCACTGACGGCACTCAACCCACCATTATCAGCTCCTGTACTTGTAGTTGTAGCTACTGGTATCGAATTGGTCCTTGTAGTTGCAGCTACTGGTATCGAATTGGTCCTTGTAGTTGTAGCTACTGGAATCGAATTGGTACTTCTTGTTGTAGCTACTGGTATCGAATCAGTACTTGTAGTTGTAGCTATGGATATTGAATGCGTACTTGAAAACATAGTTGCTGAAATTGGACAAGCGGACAAGAGATGTCCCTTTTCACCACACCGGTAGCATGTCCTCCTTTTAATCTTACCACTGACAGAACTCAACTCAGTATTATCAGCTCCTGTATCTGTAGTTGTAGTTACTGGTATCAAATGGGCACCTGTGGTTGGGGCTACTGATATTGAAAGGGTACTCGAAGTCATAGGTGCAGATTTTGAAGGGATCTCCACTCTTTTCAGAGGTACTGCACAGCTTATCTTGACAGGTCTTCCACATACAACCTTCTGATCTAACTTCAATGCCAGCGTCAGCGAGAGACTATCAGAGAAATTCACGTCAGCATAACCTCGGAATTCCCCTGTTTCCTCATCCGTACCAAAATGTATAGATGATATCTTGCAATCTGAGAAAAGTTTCTTCAGATCATCCTCAGTAATATCCCATGACAAATTTTCAACATAGATTCTATTGTACCCCTCCACAGTTTGTGGGGCAAAATCAGATACTTTATTGGCTCGAGTTGCCTTGTAAGGCTGGATTTTCAGAAATAGTTCACCCCTGAGACAAAAAGAAGTTCCATTAGAATCACGAGAGAATTGGCCAATTCTACAACAAATTGAGTAATCAAAGAGAACCAAACTCACATTTCAGCTCCATCAAGAGCCAAGGCTCGTTTAGCTGCAGCTTCTGTCTGTAGAAACATTAGAATGTTGAGACGAGAAATGATAAACAATCTTGTATTCAGCATGAACTTATATTTTCTAATAATCGTAAAACAAAAGATTAGCATAAATTGATTCATAGGTTGTGTGATGCTATTATTTCTACCACAGATTAGGCCACATAACTTCTTCCATGCTGGAAAACTTATTTAACTGAATTTATGCAGATCAGCTACTTAGTGGCATCACTAAGAATACAACTAACTGACTTGTAAGATTTGTTCAAAAACATATTGACGAGTCATATCCAAAGTCAAGGAGCCAGGATAATTTGGCAGCTCACCACTACTAGACTATGCTTGTAAGATTTGTGAAGAGAATTTCAATTCTAAGTTACATTAGCAAGGACTTAAATACACAGCTTTCTAATTGTACCTAACTTAAATGCAGAAAATAATATATACAAAATTTCTTACCTTGAAGCTAATAATAGCAATTCCTCTAAACTTCCCACTCTCAGGAAACCTCAGACAATCAACTTCAGTTATTGTGCCACAGCCTTCAAAGTAACTTCGAATATCGTCCTCAGTCGAGTAATAAGGAATGCCTCCCACAAAAACCTTTGTAGGAACATCCCCATTCGCTTTTCTAAACAAAATGACAGAACACAGACAGAATGAGGCACAAAATACAGAACATATATTCACATGGAAAGCATATACCTTCCATTCAATCTATATTGCCTCCCATACCTTACAAAATCAACCAATCTTCTACTAAACACTAGTGGTTCGAGTGTTGAGGTAAAATATAGAACAGAGAGACTGAACTTACCAAAACAACAAATTAAACAATATCATAATCAAAACAAAGTTTACCCAAACAAAAAACACACACACACACACACACGCACACACAAATTCAAATTGAGCACAAAGGCTACTATCTAAAATTACCTATCACTGTTGTTACCCGTCTCTTTGACACTCCGCTCCTCAGTCCCAAGCTCACCATCCTTCTTCTCTTCCTCATTCTTTGGCTCCTTTCTCTTCTTCTTCTTATTCTTTTTCTTTGGCTTCTTAGCCTCCTCCTTCACAACCTCATTTTCCTCTGAACTCAAAGATCCATTTTCTTCCTCTTCTTCTTCTTTTTCTTCTCCTCCTCCTTCTCATCCCCCAAATCCTCTGACCCAACTTCCCTCTTATCTTCCTCGTCCTTGTTTTCCTCAAAATTACCACCACTGACACTCCCACTCACCGCCTCTGAACCTCGCAAAGCAAGGAGCTTTCTACGTTTCTCTCGCTTGGACAATCTGGGTTTGTGAGTTGCATAGTCCAGATGGGGCTTTGAATTCGGGTCTGGGATTTCCAGAGAGGTATGAAGCGGATGTGCAACGGAGCCGGTTCCCATGTTAGAGGGTGCAGCAAGATCGGTGGGCGTCGGTGTTGTGAGACGGTGAGGCGAGTTGGTTGTGTAGTCCAGCGGCACATGTGAGTTCCAAAATTGGGGGATTGGAGAATTGATGAGATGGGTGGTTGGGTAACTGGAAGAGGCCGGATGTTCATACTGAGAAACGTTGGTTTGGGCGTTCCAATAGTACACCACCCCAAGGTTACCGTCGAACATGCCAGTCCATGGCGGTGGGAGTGTAGGATCGGAAAAATAGACGAGTGGAAGATAGTGAGGCAGCGTCGCCGGTGGGTAACCATGCTGTCCCATGGTCGGAACGGCTCTGATACCAATTATTAGGTACCCAAGAAACACAAAAGGAAATTTCCGACCAAAAGAAAGCGGCAGAAAAGGAAATAAAGCAGAAGAGAGAACTGAAAACAAAACAATTCTTCATTCATGTCCCAAAATGGAAAAAAACTTGCACAATTTTTGTTAGGTACGGTACCCATGTTACGTTTCAAAAACAATTTTTTAATTTTATAGATATCAAAGCAAATTCCGAAAGTTTATATCAACCTCCACAATCTATTCATTTCTAACAAGATATTGTTCAGGCTACTCTACCTGTATTTGATAAATAGGGTTGAGATAAAGTCATATTCGACATAGGTAGGTAATGGCATCATTTTCGCTATAGCCATGTTTCTTCATATATTTTTTAGAACATTGATTTCGCGAGGCACTACAGTAAATAAGTTTTTATTTTATTTAGAAATTGCGTTGACGCAATCTTTCCCTTATCTTTCCTTGACCTTGATTTTCAGGGGACGATGTATTATAAAAAGTGAATTCAAATCAAAGATGAGAGAGCTTACAAGTTTGTGCAAAGTCAACAACTCAACCTCATAAGAAGCTTAACCATATTCAACTTTTTGGCATTATTGTATAGACTCAAAATTGGGTCTGAGATTTTCATTTCAGTTCATGTTTATAAATTTGTCAATCCATCAAATGCTAACAACACATGCATAAAGATCTTGAAATCCAATGCAAAAACATTATATCTAATATTATTATGGTTATTTCAAGTTCAACTAATGTGAACTTATACCAAATGGGATTTGTGGCAATTAGCCAAATAGAGATATGATGAAGGAAAAGACAGATGATTTGTTTGGAAATTTCCGAAATGAGATTATCTGCCGCATTGTTTCTTTTCTCCCTTCAGAATCTGCATTAGAAACCAGTTTGCTTTCAAGAACACAATGTATAGCCGCGCGGCTATACTTTTAAGAAAAGATATTATATTCATAGTATAGCCGCGCGGATATACTGTTAAAATATTCTATTTATAGAGTACAGCCGCGGCGATGCTATTTAAATATTATATTTTAGAGTATAGCCGAGCGGCTAGACCTTTAAAATATTCTATTTTGTAGTATAGCCGCTGGGCTATACTTCAGCCGCCCGGCTGTACTCTTAAAATATTCTATTTTGGGGTATAGCCGAACGGCTATACTATTTAGATGCTGCTGCCGTGGTTGCTGGATTCTATCTCATTATTGACAAACTTGATCTGAATATATCTCCTCTTGGCCACCATTGCAGCCAACAATAAACTCCACTTGGAGTTGGAGCTTTTCCCCGGAGACAGAGAAGCGCGACTGGAGGTTCATCAAAGGCATTTTGGTTGACTCTCATTACACAATTATACTCTGGTAATGATGTGCAGAATGATCCTAAAAGCTACTGCGTGGCAAGCACAGCTCCGTCGTCGAAGGAAGTGAAAAGCCATACAATATTGCCTCATCTGAAAGTAATTAAGTTGGAGGGATTTGCAAATCAAGAGAATGAGACATCTTTGGCAGAGCATATAAGAGATTTAGTTACAGTGGAATGGAGCCACTAATCCTAACAGCATCAAATTGGAATGGCTTAATGAGCTGTATACAGAACATTGCTCACATTGGTCTGAAGATTTACTATAATTTGCTTCTTAGACCAACCCAAATTCCCATACATATTTTGAAATTTGTGGTTCTTAACATATTTTCATCTTTTAAACATGTTTTTTTTTTCTTTTCAATCTGCCACACCCCCATATTTTTATTTTCCCACTATTCAAGTAAATGATAGCAGATCAATTTCAAGCAGAAGATTACAAAACAAACAAGGCATTTCAAATGATTTGGAAAGACAAACCAACTAGCTGAGCTCTACTGTCCTCTTACAACATAAAACCAAAGCAAAACACTCGTAAAACCTACAACAAAAGTACATGAAAACACTTAATCGTTCCTTTTGACATGGAGAGTTTAAGCAAGAATCAAAATTTGCTTTATCAACAAGAAAGAAACATCTCAGTTCTACAAATCTTTGCCTCAAACTAAGCTGCAATCTGTGGCTTTTCAGCCTATTCGAAAAAATAATAGTTTGATGAGAAGGATAATATGTTTTTCCTACATATAGTTAACAGGAAAACTTAGGACACTGCCTGCATGCTTGCATTGTTATCAGCAGATTGCTTCTTTGGACAAGCTGAAGAAATATGACCCTTTTCACCACACTCGTAGCACGTCCTTCTCTTAATCTTACCACTGATGGCACTCAACCCACCATTATCAGCTCCTGTAGTTGTAGCTACTGGTAACGAATTGGTACTTGTAGTTGTAGCTACTGGTATTGAATTGGTACTTGTAGTTGTAGCTACTGGTATCAAATCAGTACTTAAAGTTGTAGCTATGGATATGGAATGGGTACTTGAAAACGTAGTTGCTGTGATTGGACAAGCGGATGAGAGATGTCCCTTTTCACCACACTGGTAGCACGTCCTTCTCTTAATCTTACCACTGACGGCACCCAACCCAATATCATCAGCCCCTGTATCTGTAGTTGAAGCTACTGGTATCGAATCGGCACTTGTAGTTGTAGTTACAGCAATTGAATGGGTACTTGAAAACGTAGTTGCTGCCATTGGACAAGCGGATGAGAGATGTCCCTTTTCACCACACTGGTAGCATGTCCTCCTCTTTATCTTACCACTGACAGTACTCAACTCAGTATTATCAGCTCCTGTATCTGTAGTTGTAGCTACTGGTATCGAATTGGCTCCTGTGGTTGGGGCTACTGATATTGAATGGGTACTTGAATTTGTAGGTGCAGAATTTGAAGGGGTCCCTGCTCTTTTCAGAGGTACTGCACAGCTTATCTTGACAGGTCTTCCACATACAACCTTCTGATCTAACTTCAATGCCAGCGTCAGTGAGAGACTATCAGAGAAATTCACGTGAGCATAACCTCGGAATTCCCCTGTTTCCTTATCCATACCAAAATGTATAGATGATATCTTGCAATCTGAAAAAAGTTTCTTCAGATCATCCTCAGTAATATCCCATGACAAATTTCCAACATAGATTCTATTGTACCCCTCCACAATTTGTGGGGAAAAATCAGATACTTTATTGGCTCGAGTTGCCTTGTAAGGCTGGATTTTCAGAAATAGTTCACCCCTGAGACAATAAGAAGTTCCATTAGAATCACGTGAGAATGGGCCAATTCTACAACAAATTGAATAACCAATGAGAACCAAACTCACATTTCAGCTCCATCAAGAGCCAAGGCTCGTTTAGCGGCAGCTTCTGTCTGTAGAAACATTAGAATGTTGAGATGAGAAACGATAAACAATCTTGTATTCAGCATGAACTTATATTTTCTAATAATCGAAAAACAAAAGATTAGCATAAATTGATTCAGAGGTTGTGTGATGCTATTATTTCTACCACAGATTAGGCCATATAACTCTACCATTCTGGAACCTTATTTAACTGAATTTAGGCAGATCAGCTACTTAGTGTCATCACTAAGAATACAACTAACTGACTTGTAAGATTTGTTCAAAAACATATTGACGAGTCATATCCAAAGTGGAGGAGCCAGGAGAATTTGGCAGCTCACAATCACCACCACAAGACTTTGCTTGTAAGATTTGTGAAGAGAATTTCAATTCTAAGTTACATTAGCAAGGACTTAAATACACAGTTTTCTTATTTTGCCCAAATTAAATGCAGAAAATAATTTACAAAATTTCTTACCTTGAAGCTAATAATAGCAATTCCTCTAAACTTCCCACTGTCAGGAAACCTCAGACAATCAACTTCAGTTATTGTGCCACAGCTTTCAAAGTAACTTCGAATATCGTCCTCGGTCGAGTAATAAGGAATGCCTCCAACATAAACTTTTGTAGGAACATCCCCATTCGTTTGCCTAAACAAAATGACAGAACACATCCAGAATGAGGCAAAAACTATAGAGCACATTTTCACATAGAAAGCAGATATCT